ATTTTAGGTTAATCACCGTTCCATTTTGCTGTCAATGACTTTCAAATGTTGCATGCATTCAATAAAATGCAGCAGATGTGCAAACACTACTGTTTTTCGTTGTTACCCAGGAATGGCAGATAAACCGTTTATCTTATGAATATGACTCTGAGCCTTTTGGCAAGGAACGTGACGCTGCCATCCAAAAACTAGCCAATGAGGCTGGGGTGGAGGTCACGGTGCGGATTTCACACACCCTCTACAATCTGGACAAGTGAGTGACTGTATAGAGTAATTAAGCTGAAAGTCTCATAGTAATGAACCAATTTTAAGGCAGATTGTGACCACCTACTCTGTCTCTGCAGGGACTGCCTTTTAATACATTTTTCTCTTTCATAGGATTATAGAACTTAATGGCAATCAGCCTCCACTCACCTACAAACGCTTCCAGGCTGTAATAAATCGAATGGATGCCGTCGAGATGCCAGTGGAGACGATCACATCTGAGGTTCTTAAAAACTGTGTCACACCAATCAGTGAAGACCATGATGAAAAGTTTGGGGTGCCCTCCCTTGAAGAGCTTGGTAAGTTTTTGTGTTTATGTGTTTTCTATCATCCATCTGTGTCAGAGTTGGGGGCAAACTGCAGTTTTTAAGTTGAATGTGGTACTTTTTCAGGTTTTGAGACAGAGGGTTTAACCACAGCAGTGTGGCCTGGAGGAGAAACTGAAGCCCTCATGAGGCTAGAGCGGCATCTCGAGCGGAAGGTAAAAATACATCTTACTGAGAACAAAGTGAAAAATTAATTTAGAAACTTCCTCGGGTTTTATGACTTAAAAAAAGAAATGTCTTCCTTACATGTGCAGTGAATTGTTCAGTGTATATACAGGTGTAAGAGAAATATGCACTTTAACTGGATGATCGCTATTTCTCAGATTTTTGACTACATTTCTTTATTGCTCTTAACATAGTACATCATGTGCATAGAGGTCAGTAATCCAGTTTGTTTTCTCTTTTTTCCTCACATTACTTCCAGTATCAAACCAGCTGAGTTCCTCTTGCATTATTTTGCGCTTAATTATTATTAATTTATTTTTTTTGTACTAAGCTACAAGAGTGTAATATCTGTCATTTGTCGTCATTAATGATCTTCAGTAGTGACTTTATTGAAGGTTAAGTTTTGCTGTCGGAGACTCAGAAATGTAACATCTCATTTATTGTCAGTTATTCAGATGAAGCTGACTAACCTTTTTTATTTATTTATTTATTTTAAACAGGCCTGGGTTGCAAACTTTGAGCGTCCACGTATGAACGCTAACTCTCTGCTGGCCAGTCCAACAGGCCTCAGCCCCTACCTGCGCTTTGGATGTCTCTCATGCCGGCTCTTCTACTTCAAACTTACTGATCTCTACAGAAAAGTACTAATGCCATAGTATTATATTTGTTGGGCTTAGAGGCTTTAGCATCTGTTTTCAAATTTGTATTTTTTTCTTTCATAAGCCTAAATCAGCTGTCCATCATCCCATCAGGTCAAGAAGAACCACACACCACCACTGTCCTTATACGGCCAGCTGCTGTGGAGAGAGTTCTTCTATACAACTGCCACCAACAACCCCTGCTTTGACAAGATGGATGGCAACCCCATTTGTGTCCAAATACCCTGGGACCGAAACCCAGAGGCACTGGCCAAGTGGGCAGAAGGACGAACGGGCTTTCCTTGGATAGATGCTATTATGACCCAGCTGAGGCAGGAGGGGTGGATCCATCATTTGGCAAGGCACGGTGTTGCTTGTTTCCTCACCAGGGGAGACCTCTGGATCAGCTGGGAAGAAGGCATGAAGGTAAGAACGGAGAAAAGGGAACGAGTGCTTACATGAGGCTAGATTTTCTAAAGCCAAAAAATAATAATAAATCTGAAGATGTAGAGGAGTCAGGTTTATTCCCAGCCTTATTGAAGAACAATATCCTGAAAGGTTATTATAGATTTTTATGTCCAGTGAAGCCAAAATCATGTTTCCTGCACCAGATTTAAGTGCACATGAGTCACTCTGGTTATTATTCATTGTTTAAAAGTGCACTTAAAGAAGAGTCAGAGTAAATTGGGTACCTTGCTGTTGTCTTCTTTCTCTCATTTGTTGTTGACCGTTTTCTGTTTGTTTGTTTTTTAAAACAGGTTTTTGAAGAGTTGCTTCTGGATGCAGACTGGAGTGTAAATGCTGGCAGCTGGATGTGGCTTTCTTGCAGTTCATTTTTCCAGCAGTTTTTTCATTGCTACTGCCCCGTGGGATTTGGACGACGCACCGACCCAAATGGCGACTATATACGG